GCTCCTCACAACCATATGGCACCCCTCCTCTCTGAGAGATAACAGGAGTAGAAGGAGGATGAGAGCGGTGTAATGATGACGGTGGAGGGAGAGAGATACCGCTCTCTCCAGCTGCAGTCCCTTTCATATCCCCTGCACCGGGGATAGGATGGTTACACTTAGATCATCCTCCCCCCTCTCCCCTCCAATCTCCCTCAACCTGCCTCTGACAATCACTTCCTCCAGGTTAGCTTCTCACAGCCAGGGAAAAGAGCTTAGCCTGGAGAGAGCGCAGTATCAAGCCTCCGTCCTATCCTGTCCTCTACACCGACAGGCTGGGCGTCGCAGCAGGCACACAGCCATTATTCCAGAGCCTCTTGACAAGCAATCTGTGCATTAGCAAGCAGAGCATGGCCGAGCCCAGCCCACTCTCCGGCTTGGCAAAGCTTAGCTAGTAATTACTGACCACAACTCATCTGAGACAAGCCACTTCTCAAGAAAGAGTGTGCACGATGCAAAGCTGCACCCGGAAACTTGCCATGCCTGCTTACCTGGACAATTTACTTTTGACCAAAAAATAATTTCTAACTGACACCAGACAAGAGTGATGCAACCTGTACCCAACAGATAAACCCTTCAAACTCTGTGGCCTGTATCAAATCCTCAGGCACACAGGAAGTGATGGCTTTGACATGAAACTTATTTTCTAAAGCCAAATCTCTGTCAAACCAGACACACTGAAATTGGAGAATATTTACCTCCCGTCTTTTCGTCTTGTTTTGGGACAGTTCTGTCTCCAAGAACTGGTCAAAGAGCAGAGATACAGGAAGCTATCGTCTCATATTCACAGAGTATTTAACCCTGTCAAAACCACGCAATTCATCTGCACCTAAAAGAGGGTATTCAAGCTGGAGGTGACTTAGCAGGCATTCCATATCCTCTAAATGGAAGGCACTTTCAACCGACTCATCTTCCTCCTACTTCTTTCTTACCATCTTACTCCCATTTACTACTGTAAGTCTCCCTCCTTCTCAGCCACTGTCTTCAACTGCATGATTCCTCTTGTTCTATCAAACCTGTCATCCCTCCTGCACCCCCTCCCCCTCCTCTGTGCCTCGGCTCTGTCTCTTTGACATTCTGTCCTCATGCAGGCTCTCTCTCTGTCCTACCCTTCTGTCACCCTCCCTTGCTCCTGTCCCCGGCCTCTCAGTCCCTGCACAAACCCCTCTTTCTATAGTGTCTCTCTTTCTCAGGCAACTCCAAAGCTGCTCTATAGCAAGCACCCTGAAGAGTATAAAAACCTGTTACATATCACTTCCTTTAATAGTGATGATTGACTTCATATTTCCCCCTGATCAGCCACCAAGCCCTCAGGGTGATCCAACCAAAGGCTGATATGATTGCGGGTGATTTAATTAATACCTTTAGTTACGTTGCAGAGTTGAAAATGATTTGAATTATAAACCATTCTTAAATGAGACTAAGTGACACCTTGAGTAACATTCACCAGCTAAACTGCAGTACACAGTCATTCAAACTAGCTGCACCTTTACCAGCTTTGAGAACACTTTAATGATCAATCATTATAAAACATATCATGTATATTATTCTGAAATGGACCAATCTGCACAATGAGTACTCCTCAGACGGCTGCTCCACTTCTTTATCTCGCTTTACTCTGTTTCCAGCATGTTTCTATGCATACCCCTTCATTACCCAGAGCTATTTTTACCCAGCTTTGTGCTGTTCAATTCGAGGGGCACTGTGTGCTACTTTGTGCATTCCATATTCCCCTATGGATTTAATGTAAAGTTGGTTCATGGATTTAATTTAAATAGGGATGTGCAGAATTAAAAGGAACTAGCTTCTCATGAATGAATGACATAGATAGATAGATAGATAGATAGATAGATAGATAGATAGATAGATAGACAGACAGATAGATAGATAGATAGATAGATAGATAGACAGACAGACAGACAGACAGACAGACAGACAGACAGACAGACAGACAGACAGACAGACAGACAGACAGACAGACAGACAGACAGACAGACAGACAGACAGACAGACAGACAGACAGACAGACAGACAGACAGACAGACAGACAGACAGACAGATAGATAGATAGATAGAATCCCTTAAAAACAAGTCTGATAACTCAAATTAATGTGCACCACGTGTGCTGTGCTTTCTACAACACACACACCCAGTAAGCCACGCAAACACAAACAAAGGCGTATGTAAATAAATGTTGGGCGAATACACACTATTTGAAAAGGCCAACTATCACACAAATAAAGGTCGTTTCCCTGACATATTTCATAAGTCATTATATACAGGCACACACAGCCTCTCCTCGCTGCCGTGCCACATCCAGCTCCGTCATATTAAGCGCAATGATTGCTTGTCATGCAGAGGCTTCTTCTTCTCCCCTCCCCCCACCCAGCTCCGGCCTGCCGCCCAAATTGGCTCTAAAACCACATGCCACTTTTGATTTGACCTGGCAGACCCTGAAACAATAACTTCATCAGGCCCTGTTAGAGTCTCATCCTGACCAGACAGCTCCAAAAACAAACACTGATTTCCCTTCATCTGGTCAGAGGGCACCTTTCGTCTTTTCTCGCTCTGTCTCTGATGGGATGAACACATGGCTGTCACAGAGCTCGCCGTCCCGCATTTGCTCGTTAGCGAAGAAGGACATCTTCACATGCTGTATTTGCAACACATAATTATATAGCTCATCTGACGGATTCTTGGACATTTACATGTGCAACAACTTTGGAGGTATAACTAATCCCACCTTCTCTGCATCAAAACCATAAGCCGCTTGTCAGTATGGCTTAAGTATGGCCGTGTTGCTGTCTCGGAATGTAGCTGTGACACCAGAACTCTTCACTCTTCAGGAGAAAACTGTCTGAAGTGATCATCTGACTTGGAGTCGCTACTCCCATGCAGGGAGGGTTTGGCTTTCTGAAAGGATCTTTAGCTGTTTGGTAAACCAAGAGGACATTCAGTAATATGGATGATGATGTGTCCTCAACGTCCCTGCGTTCCATGACCCTTCACTGGAGAGCAAGGTCCGACTGGGGCTTGAAATGGGAGACCCTCTGGGCTGATGAGAGGGCGTGCATATATGAGTCCTCTTGTCAAGGACGCTGGAAGAATGATAAACGGGGCAGTAAGGTGGAGTGAGACTGTTAGTGTGCATTTTGAAGTGTTTTTGAAGGTGTGTAGACAACTGTGTTTTTTCTCCTGTATTTTCCTTGCTGATGTCCACAATTCGACAATCTGTCCCCTCCATCCATACCCATTCCTTTTTCTCTTTATAACCTCTCACACCAAACATGCTTACTGATAATAGAGTGAGACTCAGCCATTATGTCAACAGTGCATATGCCAGACTTTCAGTCTCGTCATTATGAAGTGACGGGCCTAATGATCTGATAATGGGCTGACACGTGTAATGGCCCATCTCAGTGGAATAGATGCATCTTTGCAGAAAAGTCCCAGAAACACACACATACTAAACATGTGGTTTTACGCCCACACACACATAAATGTGTATCATTGGACATTAATCGTCTGATAGTACCGCCCACCTGGGTGTTACACATGTCACGACGAGGGCACTCATATAGACTTATAGTAAATCATAATTACAATGATGAAGGACCCTTTCAGCCGTCTTAATTGAAAACAAATGGGACCCAGGCCTGTCCCTAGTGTCTCCATGCTGATGAGTAGAAAGCTTTCCTCACGGGTTTGCAATCCCACAGAGAAGACAATAGAAGCATTTCAGAGATATCCAGAGGATTCATTCGTCACCATTATACACAATTACAAACATGGAGGATGTACACACTTAGTAGCTGTAGTATTTTATACTTGTGTAAAAGCAGCAAATCTGCATTCATCCCATCAGGTCAGAGGGGTCTCTCATTTCAGAGGTTTGTACCCTCTCTCGAGTCTCTACTTCGTACTCAGATGCACACATTAGTGTAGTATCCCTTTCACAAACAACACACTCCCTCTTCCCTTACACCAATTGATTTATCCATAAAAGCTCTTTGGCTTCTCCCGTCCTTCTTCTCTAAGTAATTACCTCATCAGGTTTGTTTTCAACCCACATCCCTCCCAACAGTAACAGTACTCCCCTCCCTCAACTCTCCATCTTCCCTCATATCCACATGAACCACAACCGGGGTCAAAGCTAGCATCATTCCAAGTGGCATGGTGGGATGCCCCCAAGGAGAGCTGGGATGCAAATAGGGTGGGAAAAAAGTATAAATAAAACCATCAGCTGAAGGAAATACAGGAAGAAAAACCACATCTGTCAGACCGCCCCCACTCCAACCCTTCACCACAAGTCCTGGTAACACATTAGTATTGGACCCTGGTTAAATGAGCGACCCTATCCTCCCTTCATCCATCTATCCATCCAGAGGAATGGTAATGACCACGGAGAGGCAGAGCCCCTGCTGAATTAAACATTTCCTTCCAATGAGGATCTGATTTTCCTCCTTTGGATGCCGGAGCAAGGCAACATTTCTTTCTGCTGGCAGAGGTACTTTATCATCGTGCAGCTCAGGTGCATTGGAGGTCAATGACACAGACCCAGCATTGTTCTAATATATTCCATCTCAGGGCAAATTAGATGCATTTCGCTGTGAACCCTCAGTTTCAGGGTCAAGCCGCAACTGCCCCCGCAATTTATTTGACTGCCAGATTCAGGCCGCCTTTTCTGAGGAAGCGGCACGTGCCTAGCCCCATAATGTCTGCAAAACCAGGGTCCAATCTCCCTAAAGTGTTACCCAGGAAATCCCATGTGATTTCAACTATCTCCCCCGTTCCTCTTTCTGTACCTGTGAATTACTTTCTGTTTTTTGTGCAAGCTAACCCAGGGAACATGACTGATTTGTACTCTTTGCTCTTTCTCTCCCTCTTTCCATGGTTTCTCTTCTTCCCTTACCCCTACTTCCTCTTTCTTCTTCATTTCTTCCTTATGTCTCATATATCAGGTCGCCAGTTGACCATCTTCAACAGCCAGGCGTTCATCAAAATAGGTGGTGGAGAGAAGGGGCGCCACTTCCAGGGTCAGATCTCTGGCTTGTATTATAACGGCCTGCAGGTGCTCAAACTGGCAGCCGAGGGCGACCCCAACGTCCAGAGCCAGGGCAACCTGCGGCTGGTGGGGGACGTGCCCTCGGTGCTCACCACTGACACCACCTCCACCACCCCGCTGGCTGATATGTCCACCACAATCATGGAGACCACCACCACCATGGCCACAACCACCACCCGCAAACAGCGCTCGCCCACCATGAGGGACAGTGTCACACAGGTGAGCAGTGAAGAGTGTGTGATCGACGCTTGTGTCCACGACTCATTCCATCCAGCTAAATAGACCATAGCTAAAAGCTGGCGTTTGAGTCACTGAGCCAGCGCAGTATCTTTTAATTGACTTACTAAAGTTTCAAAAGTGCCAAAAACAATATATGCAAGATTGAACAGCTTTTGGAGGACTAGATGCACATTTCAAATAATTGTTTACGTCCACTTCCAGGGCAACAGTCTCATTTTCAGTGCAGTGTTTGTAGCCCTCAGATTGCCCTCACCCTGAGGGGGAGTCACAACAGTTTTGTGTGTGGTCCTATTAGCCCAATCAACACTGCAATTTTTATTTGCTATTAGAAGATACAGCTGACTAATCCCCAGACATGTTAGGCTGCTGGAAATAACAGAACACCCAGGCAGAGCAACAAAGCCTGGAGGAGTGGACAACGTAATGAAAAGGAAAGCATGCAGCAGTAACAGCACAACAACTCTGGCTACCATAAGCTTATATGTATGACTCTCCCTCACACCCATGTGAAAGACTATGATTTATAGGCTGATGATTATGATTATCCCCATGCTAAGTGTTGCCGTTACCTTCATGCTACCTAACAATTAGCAAACATTAGGGGAGTGCTGTTGCCCACATACTGGAAAACGGAAGAAGCAGGTCATCCAGACCCACTCCTCTCATAAAAAGACATAATAACAGGCTCCATGTGCTCCAAGGGAAGAATATGTTCTAGTTCCTGGCCAGTATCATTAGCTCTGAAGCTGTGTGCTGTGCAGAAAACACCTTGCTGCGAAGCATTTAAGAGTAATTGTTGCTAGAAGTGCAAGCCTTTGCCCCATGTCTACGACAGTATCTACATTATGTCAGCTATTTCTGTACTGTAACAGCTTGAAAGGCGTCATTTCATACTGCCAACTTCAACTGTCCAGCAAACTTTTATGATGTTGCAGGAAACCAAAAAGATGAGGTCCCAATTAGCAGCACTATATTTCTCCCATTCAGTTGTGTTCATTAGCGCTGCTTCATGTCTACCGAGGCTCATCTATGAACACTCGTGTCGTCCATGACTTCCTCCATCAGCTGATTCCGGATATATTTCGACTAGCCCTTTATCATCGTCTCAAACCTTTGCAGAATCCATCCTTTGAAAGTGCTATCCGTCTCATTTTGAATGAACACAGCACCGCCAATTAGAGTGAATTCAAGGTGAGGCTGTTGATGGCACGAGTGCTCAATCCATGCCACTTTGTATTGCAAACACACAGTTCAAAGAGAATTGGAATGTTGGTTTTGCATTAACGCCTGCTCCTGCTTATTTGTTGTTGCTCATTTTCCTTTGCATTTGGAGGAAAGTCACTTAATGAAGCCTCATCAAAGCAGCGCTCGGATTGCGGCTGACAGAAACTATGAAAGTGTTCCTGTTCAGCCAAGCATATTCTCAGTGGTGGCTGAGCCTGCCATGTCATTACGAGCAAGTGAGCTTTGGGGGATTTAAACATTGGTCAAAGCTCCTTTAAAGACAGTTGGCATGACTTATTTAGATGAATGGTATGTGGTTTATTATTTCTGAGTTTTCTTTCTAAACATGAGATCAATGGAACCTGACCCAAGATGTCACATGTAACCATCCCCTCAGTTCATTATCATATCTCTGGCCTCCAGACTTCTTGGCGGAAGTATTCTTCCTTGTTCCATATCATGAGCTTTTATAGCAGGGGTCTGCGATTGGGAATTGGCAGCCATAGACGGCCCTGTTTGATAAGTTCTCTGGAAGTATTTTAGTACAGCAAAGGACTCTGAGCGCTGTCTTCTTCTACAAGCCTTAATGTGTGCTGCATTTGCTGACTGACGTTCATGCTGGCTCATAAAGAAGCAGACTCCCACCTTTAAAGTGCCTTTTATTGCTAAGAATCTATTTTCACCTAGTGTAGACATATTGTAAGTTCTTACTTTATTATTGTTATGTACCCAGTGAAACGTAGTTTATTGTCACAATGGCCTAGAATTGCTTTAAAGATATGTGCTTGAGAATGAATATCACCAATGAGTCACTCATCCACATGCTGTAATGATCCAAGATATTTTGCCCTGCGCACAAAAACATAAAAGCATTATTGAGGCGTAGAGTTGGCTGACGCAGATCATTCAAACGGTCCCAGTGTGACTGAATAATATTTATTCTGGAATTTGGGAGGCGGTCCTGAAGGCCTGGCAAGCTCCTCTGCTCCCCCTCGACAGACAGTAAATGAAAGGGGAAATAATAAATGTTCCTAAAACTGTAAAGTAAAATTAAGCAAAACGTCATGAAAGGTTTGGGATTGAATTAATTTCTAACTTCTGTTCAAATGTGTGCAGTGGGAAAGCGTGTTGAGCTTCACTTACAAACAGCATGGTGGCTGTAGTGTGATCATTGGCAATTGACAACTTTTACAGATGAAATGTTCAATTTGTTTTTTGCATTTATTAGTGCATCTGAAGAAAGGCAGGAAGAGGGTGGAGGCAGACGGGGTAACACATGCAGCATATTGGGTTTGACCCTGGGCTGCTTGAGCAAGGCCTAATTGATTTTGTACATGAATGTGGAAGCCGCTATTTGTTCTGATGAACCCAATGGACCCAAAATTGAAAGGCAATGTTTGGAACTTTGGGCAGTTTGTAGATTTTAAACAGATTTATATGTCTCAGTCATAAATACTGCACAAAATAGAAAATCAGTAACCATGCTTGTTTAACTTCAACATATACAATAAATAAGAGGATTGGATAAATCTGTGATAGTTATTTTAATCGTGTATCATCCTTTTTTGATCTGAAACTATTTAAAGAAATATTGAACTTAGGATAGGATAACTTTAGGGTCTACAACTATAAGAGAAAGGAATTGACACCATTATTTTAACATATAGATTGCAGCTGTGACAGTCAGTGCTGTGCTATAAAGACATACATATATATGTCTTTAGAGTATACTCAGTCCTTGGGCATTTAATAATCTATCCTAAAGAGCCTGTGGTGTTATTTTGTGCTAGAGCAAACATGGTAATAGCATTTTAAATACTGCGATTCGGCAAAGCTAACAACTATGGAGCTCTAATGAATATCCCCAGCTCCCGCCAAGCCACAGCGGAGACAGGCCAGGGTGGCGGAAAGCAAGAGAGCGGAAACACACATTTCAATTTCTCCAAAAGCTCTGAGCTACCCGCCGCGCTGCAGCTTTGATCATCGTCAAATAATGTTCTTTGATGCTTAGAATAAAAGATCTACCTTTGATGTGTGTGTGTGGGGTATAATTCTGCAACCCCTCCATACTGTGGGTTTCCATGAAACAGTTGGGAGTCGTCTCTTGTCTCGCTCTGACCCAAATGTTGTGTTTGGGTGTTATAAAACTAAGATCACAAGCTCCTGCTCGCTGCTCCTGTCTTCAGTCGAGAGCACTCCCAGGTGCTGGAGATCTCTGTGATTGGCTGGATGGATGCAAGGTGTTTGAAGTTGTCTCCTCGTGGATTCAACTTGGAAGTGGATAGGAAAAGTTTGGACCAGGTCAAACGGGAGTATTAAGCTCCTCCTCCAGCAGTGCACTGGGTTAGTGGGCCTCGTGACAATTAGTTATGTTCACTCTGCGTGGATGCTGAGGCCGATTCAGCCATTTGACATTCAATCAGCAAGTAATTGTGTTATTATGGCCTCAAGCACTCTGCCGTACTGATGTCCAGGTCGCTCAATTTAAAGAAGTGCACATTTAAATTGATTCGTGATGTTCCGTGTTATTTGGAGCGAGGAAAACAGTAGTATTGCATGGATGGAATAGAAATGTGAGTGCATGTTTAACGGAGATGTTCATTCGGCCAATTTGAGAGCCAGGTGATGTAAACAAACACACACTGTGGTTATGAAATGATTACATTTCAGGGGGGGGGGGGGGGGGGGGGGGGGGGGTCAGGGTACAGCCTTGTGAGTCGTGTAGTAGGAAGCTGGGTCCAGATAGACACACATTGATTTGATTGGTTGGTGTTTGGCCAGATGCATTTTCTACTTTGACTTCAAATCATACAAAGATAACTACTACTAATAGGAAAAGCAACTCACCATAGCATTGTTAGTAAATGTCCTACTACTAAAGCTGACCAACAATAATCATCATGTTACCTAAGAAAACATTTGTACCTTCGATCTTTCTTAAGTTGGCCTCTCCTTGATTATCTTTTGTGTCAGTGGAGAGGAGAGCCTCGCTGTGACTTCTACACAATCCTCTCAGATGTTCTGTGTATCCTCTACTCCTATCAAATGTGTCCTGACTGTATCTGCTCTGCTTTGTGTCTCTGTGCTTTCAGAATGCGGATGACCTCTTGGTAGCATCAGCTGAGTGTCCTAGCGATGACGAAGATTTGGAGGAGTGTGAGCCTGGAAATGGTGAGTCAACTCAGGAAGTTCTGCCTTCACAATACTTGCTATCCAAAAACAAAAGAACTCGCCTAGACTACTGCAATCTCCCTTCCTCCACTTTTACGTGACGGCAAACCTCTCTGTATGCAGCTCTGGTTGTCCATGTGTACCCTGAACCCTTCTTTTGGTTTTTAAAGCAGCAGCCACTTCTCTGCACCGTGGTTCATAAATAGCTCAGCCAAGTGGTAGTATCTGGCGTTTACCCTGCTGTTGCACCAATCTCCTGCCCACATTTTAACAAGACAGGACAGTTCCAGCGTGGAAACGCAGCTTGTTCAGGCCCGGTGGCTGTCAGTGGGAACAGAGGGTCAGCTAACGTTCTGACGCCATGACAGGAGGTGCATGTTAAAGGCCATGCGTGTCACTCCCTGCTCTGTGCTTTCTAGCTCTATTAGGCTGGTCATACTTGAACACTGCCAAGAACCACGTACAATAAAAGAATGCGCTTCAAAGACTACTTCCTCGACAAAGTTGTCAAAATAAAAATAGGCAGAACTACATTTAAAGCCATCTTATCCTGAAAGATTGTCTCTGACTAGATATCTGTTGAATGGACAGATTTAAATGACTGTTGTGGGCGAACACTTGCCTCAGTGAAACATATTATTAAAACTTTGTGAGTGCACTTGCTATTACAGTGCTAACTTCTTGGAATTCAATGAGCACAACATTTTTTTCTTGAAAGCCATTAATAACACCTGGGGCGTTGGCAATCTTTTAAAATGGGTTCATAAATGCGCACTTGCATATTATAGATCGCTGGGTAGATTAAGTCAAACATATTCTGTAAAATACATGAGCATCTTAAATGAAACATTGTTTATTATTAGATTCAAAGGAGGAGAGAGGGACTTTGCTTTGAAAATACTTCAGGACTCTTTTGGACACATTTAGCATTTCACAAGAGATAAGTGAACAATTAGCACATGGCGACAGGATTAGAACTCTCTGGCGTTAATCATATCACACTCGGCTGTCTCTAGGAAATAGCATATTAAGTACGCTTCATTTGAACACATTGTCACTCTGCCAAAAGCATATAAGTAGAGACACTTTATACATCGTACCACTTTAGTTCCCCAGACCCATCCTCGGAAGAAATTTCTGCTGAAAAAATAAAAAAGGCTTTTGCAAAAACAGAAATGTAAACATCCTTTTTAAATGCCTCAGTAATCTGAGTATGGATTGGACATGATTAAACAACATAAAGGCCAGATTGCCACCAAATCTCTTGAATGTAGACAACCTTGATTCGACAAAAGTGTCAGCAGCACAATGTCTTACTTTGTAAAAAATAAAAAATAAACACTTCATTTTCCTAGATTTAAGTTTTTTTCAGGAATGGGGATTCAGTGGTTTGAATAGAATATATGTTGGACTGCAAATGGCTGGAGATTATAGCAATCGGTGTGTTTGTGTGAGGAGAACGGCTCTGAGCCTGTGCTGAGAACTGGAGAGCAGCATTCTCCTGTGGTTTACTCTGTAGGTGGTGTGGACCGAAATAGAGACTCAATTCCCTTCTTATCAGAAGGAGAAATGAGAGTTTTTCACTGGATGCTATGCCCAGGCTTAATCTCCCATGGGGAAAAACAACTCTCTCTCAATGCCCACACAAACACACACATACAGTGGCAGACATGCTCCCCTTACCAGACAGACACTTGTCTCTCTCTCTCTCTGTGGGTGTAAAGTTTTCTCTCTCCTGAGAAACAACAAACATTCTCCGTATCACACCTTCCAGATGCCACAAGAGTTCCAGCGTGGCGAGCCAGCCGGGTCGGATAAGCCTCGGTGAAAACTGTTTAGAAGGAGAAGAGAATCAACATTGTCCCCTCTCCATCCCAGCTCCACATGCCTGTCGCCATTGTGTGAGAGCACCAATTCCCAGTGTTTTTCATTTCATGACAGAATGCAGCTCCTTTTTATTGAACTGCCTTCAGGAATGAAAAATGTTAAGCCGGAGATTTTCTATTAATCCGAGCAAGATATGATGCTGTGAATTCAGGGATCGATACTCCTTCCTACAGTACATACAGCTGGTCACCTGCAGAGGTACAACTGTGCTGTTTCAAAGGGATGCAACTTGTTTTATCACAAGTGCATTCTACTAGGCGGGCATTTGGAGCTGGCTGGTGCTAAATGATGACCCTCAGACAATGATTTGGGTGCAGCCACATTCACACATTTGCTGAGAAGCTCAGAGTGAATGCAGAATAGACAAAAGCACAGGGCACGGAGGAGAGGACCCCGATGAAGAGATGAGAAAGAGCTGGGAGCGCTGACCCTCTTTGAGATTTGTGTCACGTTACTTTGCGCTCAAAGCAAAACAGGGAAACGGGGGGAGGAAAAGGGGAGCGTGCGAGGGGAAGAAGAGGAAGTGAGAGAGGAAACAAATTTGAGAGAGGGAACAGAGTGAAATTCTCATCAACGATTCTCGGCTTTCCCAAAAGGCTAATTAAACTTTGACTCTGTTAGGGAGCTTTAATTACATCACCCAATTAAAGCTTTGCTTTTGGATCCTTCAGTGCTATTAATGAGCCGCTGTGAGAAGAGTGACAAGACCTAGGAAGTGGGCACAAAGATGAAACATGTACTGGGAGAAGACACTCAAAAACATATTTGTATATCTGCATGAACACGAGCATACATAAGAAGCCATCCATAGACACTAATTGTATTCACAGTAATACAGAATTAGAGAAGATATTATACACACGTCTGTCAAACAAGCCTGTCTCATTAAATCTCTTTCATTTTCTCTCCATTCTTCACTCTACCTCAGCACGACCTCACTTCCCTTCTCTCTCTCTCTCTCGCATACCTCCAAGCTACTTATCAGTCCGAGGATATTGTTTATATCGCTTTTACTCTGACAAGATCAGAGCTTTGAGGATCTCCTCAATAATTCATCAGGCGACATGCTATAGAGGCAACCTGCAAATGTTCTTTTTAGGTCGGCGAGCGAACCTATAAGATTGGATGATGGATGAGGGATGACCCAGAGCGCTGAGCCGCTTACCCAGTGTGACTCACAGCTGGCCTAGGATCAGACCCACTCTGCTCGAGAAGTTTGGGTGTCAGTTGTTTGTCAGCGTGATGCTTTATTGATCTCCCTCAGCTAGCCGTCCTCCACAAGTAAACAAGCCCAGGTTTGTCATACAGGTTAGAGACTGGCAATGTAGAGGATCGAAGCAGTGTCCTCTGGATGATCTCTACACAGCACACCATCCACAAACTGATTTCAGAGCAGCGGTTGTGACGTTACTGCCAAGCTCAGTCTATACCCCCCCTCTGCTGGGCTTAAAGACTTAAAGTGCAGTGACTAGTATATAAACATTCTTCTGATTGGACCAAGTTCTGTAGAAGAACACTTCGCTAAGGCCATTCAGTGTTAATGGAAGTCAAAAATACATTGTGTATCCACCTGTGATTCAGATCTGCTTTTCATTTGAATGGGGTCTTCCTTGGACCATGTTTCACCCTTCTACAAAGTTTAATAAACATTAAGCTCAGAGTTTTTCCAAAATCAATCAAATTAAAGCTAAAACAAATCCTCAGCGGCGAAGGTCATAATGCTGCGGTAATAATGCTCTGAAATCACAAGTACCAAGAAGAGAAAAGTAAAATTACAAATGATAAAATATGGGAACAATAGAAAATACTAATTATTGAGTTATAATGTATGACAAGTTTATTTGTAGAGCAACAACAAGACAATTGAATGTTTCTGACATGATAGAAAGATATCTGCATTCAGTTACAGATCAAATAAATAATCCTTAAATTAAATAACTTGAATCAACATTTAATAAAGTCAGTATTTATCTAGCATTATATACCATACATATATTCACCATTTATATGTATATGTGTTGCCTCCATAGCAAGGATTATTCAGACGTCTTGTAACCATTTAACTTCCAAACTAATTATTGGTGAACTTAATCATGATTGAGTATTGCTATTGTAAAGCTGTGAAGTATTATTGAAATAACATTTCTTATTGGATGTGACCCTGGAGCAGTATATGGAGAGTGTTAACATTTCAAGATGTCACCCCAAGGAGAAGCTTTCAGTAGAGAAGAGAGCAGATGTAACGTTCATTTGTGAAAAAAGAATGCTGCCAGTTTGAATGATATTCCCTTCAGTGCACAATTAAGAATCTGATGGCATACAACATCATATTTGTTTTTGCAGTAAATGCTGTTGTAATCGGGTATTCTCTCCATGTGTGAGATTATACCACAGTGAGGTTGAGACCCGATTGGGGCAGGGCATCACTTTGTTTCATAATAAATCATGTTACCTGAAAGCGACAGCTGTAAATGCGTCACATATATGAAAAAAACATGTATTACCCCCCTCTCCCGTTGCCCAGATTATATTATACATGTAGCTATTGTTTATTGAAGCAAGCTAGGAAAATATATTATTCTCGGCCACGCGGCTGGATTTCCCATCTGCAGTCCAATCAAAGCTGAATTATAGAATGCTCAAACTCCAAAACAACCTTTTCGCTCTAAATATTTCAAATAGATGTGAGCGGGGCGACGTGAGCGGCACAGTAACGATGTTTGTCAGGAGAGCCACATAGATGCATCAGGATCCATCTGCCCTGGTCTCCTTCTGAGTGAATGGAGGGGATGAGTCATACTGGCAGAGTGGCGTGTGGGTAAAGATAAAGAAGACATTTCATCATGTGGGCTAAACGTGGCTCCACTGCCTCAATCGAGTCAATCAATCAGCTGAATATCTTTGAGTCTGTTACATTACAGACTAACAGTGTTAATGAAAGAGGCACCCCCACACTGGAATCATGCTCAATGTATTCCTCAACCTTCCAAAACATTCAACCAGTGTTAGTCGTTATGATGCTAAATTAAATACCTCAATATCTCATGTGAGTTACAATGATATAATATGTTACAAATCTATCACCTGATTTTCTTCAGTACTGGGAACACGTGCCTGTGGGTATTAACTGAGCAATCCGAGCTGCATACAGAGAAAAGAGGGTGCTGTCGTGGAGAAGGAAGAGCCAATTGAAGCTGTTGATTGGTTGACACTAAGGGTGCAGTAGGCTTTGGTCACACAACAGGAAATGAAGCGATGGCTCTCTTGATTACTGCCTATAGTGCTGAGACGGCTCTCTGTGTGTGAGGGCTGAGCTTCATTATGTTTCCAGTAGCCTGTCATATGAGATAATGTCCTCCTGGCTTTGGCTCTAATAAACGCAGAGTACGGCAGAGTGATGGGAGCCATTTGTCATAACAATATTTTACTGTTAAACGCTTGTATATAAACATTTGCCTCCAGAATATCTAAAATAATCTTCAGCTCAGTTCTATGGGTTCATACGAGGGAGACAGAAACACTCGAGTTAAGCAGTGTTTCTGATTCTGCCACGATTGCAAGAAGTTAACAATAACAAGTCCATCCGTTTGCAGTGTCAGCCGCACACTGTAAGTGGGGCACAGTGAGAGGTAATTGGGGGGCTGCAGGTAGAGAGCTTGAAATTGCACTTGCAGCATCTCTACCATTTTCACAGATAGTGACACCACCGTCTTCCATTACCTTCAGTCATATGTACATACTGTATCTCTGAGGAATATCTAGCAGATGCCCTACAGTTTATATTATTATTAATAATTGCTTGTAAGCGCTTTGAGCACCAGGAAAAGCGCTTTATAAATGTAATGTATTATTATTATTATTATCTTCTCCTGTGACAAGTTATCTCGTAGATTTGTAGGAATGAACTAAACTAGTAAAATTGTCCTTTGTTCGTCAAATGTGACACCGCTCTCTGCTGTCCTCTCAGCCTTCAAGGTGAAACTCAGCCTTCACACACAGAAAGAAAGGAAATATAATGGAGAGAAATAACTTGAGCATTGCCATGGAAACTAGAAGGGTTGAAGAACTAATGTTTTTTTCCCGTTTTCACATTTTGCTTCATTTCAAGGCCTGTTTCTGTGAAGTGTGTTGTTAACTGCTGCTGTGTTTAGAGGCTTGGTTAACCCAGCACATTGCCCTTTGTAACAAAGCCTTTGCCATTCTCTGAGTGAAAATATATGGTTGTGTAACTGACTGAGGTTTGGGGGGGCTTGAGCGTTGCTGAGCTGACAAGGTCATGGGGGAGTTATTCCAAACCCACCCCCCCCCCCCCTTAAAAAACAACCCATAATCCAACCCTAACTCTGATTTACCTCATCAAAGGAACAAAAAGCCACAGTCATGATTTTATGCTAGTGATGTTGGCCTTTACTTGGTCATGTTTTGCTGTTACCTTCCCCTTTTCTAACCCAAGGATGTTCAATAATCTAACCCCCCCCTCCTGCCATGTTTTCAAATGTTTCCTTGACTGTTAACCTAACCTAACAAATATGCTAGACTTGACAGTCAAATGTAGTGTATAACCTGATATTCTGCCATGTTCTTTTAACATACTCCCAATATGTTTAACCCTTAACTCCAGCTGTGTAACTTTTATAAGTAATAATGTTATACACCCAATAATTATTTAATTTGGGTGTCCGTATCACAGTGGGCTCAAATCAGATTACGTAACTGAAGTTTGACAACTAATTCTGGCTCATTAAGACTAACTGTTGACTTGTGTTGGTGGCTGCTCACTGTTACTGTGCTGTTGGGAGGGAGGGGGGGGGGCGTCAATGTGTAATCTCTCTCAGTGCTGTAGTGTGTGCTGAGAGCTGGGTTAGGAATGAGGGGCAGCAGTTTCCTGCAGCAGCTCCTGAGGGCTAGCATACAGATTAAGCTAATTAGAAATGAGCCATAGAAACCCCCATGCCCAAAGGGGGAACTGGGATTGAGCCCATTCTTCATGAGAATTCTGAAATAAGCAAGAATGAATTATTCAAATGTCTTAACGTGAGGATTATTTATCACCTATTACAAAATAATCAAATAAAGAGGAGAGGAGGTAACGACTGGGTGGGTGGGGGGGTTGTTAATCACTATCCGAGAACAATCTTACACAGCTTTCTTTTTGTAATTTTTTTTTCATGCAAAAATCATGCGGCCAATTTGTTGATGTAAGTGACCTGAACCTCGTGGTTTGCTATCTTATTTAACCAATCACAGCAAGACACTGAGCGCTAGTGCAGTCAGCATAGGTTAGCCTAGCGTTAGCAGTGAAGAATAGGCTGTGTAGAGTGATGTTAAGTTGTTCAGTGTAATATGTAGTCTACTTTTATCCTGTGTTAGTCATATAGCATGTAGGTCTATGCAGCATAGGTCAGGACAGGTGCAGCTTTCTGTCTTACAGCTAGTATTTACTCAGCTCAGAGTTAGTCAGCATATTACCTTTTTAAATAGAACAGACTAAACTTATATACCTAACCTGATGTAAAGTGTTAGTGCTGTTCTAATTCTGGTGTTCATTAAAGTGGTGTTCTTCTGTTCATCTGGAGGTGGGCTCTCTCCCCGGCGGTCTCTAACACTCTGTTTCTCGTTGTCTCTTTCTTGTCCTAGGAGGTGAATTAGTGTTGCCCATAATAACGGTGGACTCCTTAGCCCCCCCATCCATCGCCACACGCTACCCAGTAATCCCCCCGCCCCCAACCACCTACCGCCCTTTCCTCACCTTGCTCGAAACCACCAAAGAGTCCTTCCCCCTGCCAAACGGCCGGCCCCCCTGCTCCCTGGACCAGGAGGACTGCGGGGAGACCATCGAGGTGTCGGCGTACGGCTCGGGGGAGATGACCGAGTCTGATGACGAGGACTATTACAAAAACTCCCCCCTGGTCACCGACAGGACTGTCCTCCCCCCTCCCCCAGGCGTGGATGGCAGTGTCCAGAACCCCCGGGACCGCCATTTCTCCCGCTCGCCCAACTCCCACCGCCCCCCCCTGTACTCCACCCCCACAGCCAACCCCGAGCAGCTCAGCCCCCACATCAAGCCGGCCGCCGGCGGCAGCAGCAGCAGCAACAACAAGATCCCCGCTGGGAAACTGAACACCCGGGACCAGGTGCTGCTGCCGCCGGCCCACCCCTCCTCAGACCCGGGACACCGCAGAGTCCCAGGAATAACATACCCACCCAATTTCCCCCATGTTCCCACTCCAGACCCCACGTCTCCTGAGCGGGGGCTCCCGGGCGCCGTGGAGGTGCAGCAGTCCAGCAGCACCACGGGGATGGTGGTGGGCATCGTGGCCGCCGCCGCCCTCTGCATCCTCATCCTGCTCTACGCTATGTACAAGTACCGCAACCGCGACGAGGGGTCCTACCAGGTGGACCAGAGCCGCAACTACATCAGTAACTCAGCCACGCAGAGCAACGGAACGCTGGTGAAGGAGAAACAGCCCAGCACTGCCAAGACGGTCACCAAGAACAAGAAGAACAAAGACAAAGAGTACTACGTCTGAGAGCCGCCGCGACACACTGAGACAGACAGCAGCTGCACCTAGAGAAGGGAGGAGACCAGAGAGAGGAGGGGGAGAGAAAGGCAAACAGAACAGAGGGTAATTCATTTCCTACTCAGTATTGTCAGGTGGCCATACATTACCTATTCAAGTCTAATCAGAGGGAGGCAGCAGGTGACATCATGCTTCTGCTCCAGCATCTCTTAGATTGATTTGACTTCTTATTAAATGTTAACCACGGGGTGGAATTAAGGAAAGGCCTCACATCTCCACACATACTGTGCCAACGACCATGTACCAAATGCTGATAAAACAGTGATTTATGTCAGCACATGACAGGTTAATTAATATCTAGAGTACTGTAGAAAGCACCACCATCAGTATTTGTGTCATGGTCTGTCCTTCATACTGAGGCGAGCTTGAGTTCCCCTCCGACAGTATCAACATATTATTTTCCACCTGTTTGAATGAGTAACTCGACATGGCTCTGTAAAATCAATATACTGCCAGCTTACAGGAACATCGTGTCAAACCCAGCTCCCCCTCTGGAAGTGTTCCACGTCTCTGATCTCTTACCTCCCGTCGCATCTCTCTCTCTCTCTTCCTCTCGTCGGATTGTGCGCTCTGTTTCTCTCCTCGTCCGGTGCTCAGCGGCTGATGCAACGTAAACTCTGCCGTGTTTCAAGCATGTAGTATTCATTTACGAAAAAGAGATAAAAACTGTTTTTCTTTCTGTGGAGTTTAAAAAAACAAAAAATACGATGATTGATGATCATAACAACGTTAAACGTAGCAATTATGTGAGATACCACTGCTCCAACATACCGGATGCTAACTTGTACGTTTAGCCGCCAAAAACTTGTTGAGGCCAACCCCCTTGGTCGTCCTTTGTTCCAGCAGATCTGTGTCATGTGTTTCGAGGCTCCGAGGCGCCTCCTAGTGGGCCAGAAGAGAAACTGTGTCACGTCCTTACAGTTACTAATAACCGAAAAACAGAAAAAACCTCCAGCAGTCAAGATGAACTCTGTTCTATATCATTATAATTATATGTATAGACGTTGCAGAAACTATGGACCTAAAGCTTGAGCGAGTGGAAAGGAGAGTACGCTGTTAATGCACAGCAAGACAGACTTTAGGATTTGTGACGTCAGAACAGTAACACAGCCCCTCTCCCCTTCCCCCCCCTCCCCCCCTCATGAACAGTACGGCTGATGCAGCCATGCTGCAAGACTCCGTCACTTTGGTTTGCTCTTTTCTTTTTTATGTGAGTCTTTTCTCTGGTGAAAGAAGAGACATTTTAGGGAAATTCCTAATTAATTCTTGCTGGAGTTCTGCTGAGGAGAGACATACCTTGCAGCTGAAGAAGCGACTGTGTCTTTCCCCCCCCCCCCCCCCAGCCTGTCTGGACTGATGGCAGCCAATGGGCAAAGCAAACTCTGTGGGAAGAGCACACAAACAAAATGTGAACGGCAGTTCCCTGGAAGATGTACAACAGAACTCTAGTATTCCAATTTTCTCAACTCTATTAAAAAAGAAAACTGTACCATGAAAAGAAAAGAAAAACCCTGAAAAAAGTTTGTGAAATGTCTAAATATTTGACTCTCATCCCATTACTAAGAGAAGTGTGTTTTCCCTACTATCATTCCTGTTTGGAGAAAAAAATGACTATGATTCTGGGAAACTGAAATGTCTATGTATTTTCTTTTGGTAATTGAGCAAATGTGATTTGGATTATGAAATGAAACCATGAATTCTCCTTTTATTCCATCTGTCATCCTCGATCTAATTTTTCATCCTGCATCTATTCCTTTTTCTCTGTATGGCACATCGTATGTCCCCATACCGTGTGGAACAAGGCTCTGTCCATCCTTCATGTCTTTTTTTGATTTCTTTTATATCTAATTCTGTCTTCACGGCCAGAGACGAGATGGAAGCCATTTCATTTGACAGGCTCCATCAATTCACTGTCCTGCCACGTTCGTCTGGTTTCTCCATCCCCAGCATACTCCTCCCAGTATCTTCCTGTTCTTTCTAAATGTTATTGTAAAGTGTTCCAGTGAGATGACTCTAAATATGTGTACATTAACAGAGGGAATACACTTGGTTATATACTTCTTACTCCCTGTGTCGCGTGGTCTCTTTATCGTGTGAGTGGACAGTTAAAAAAAGCAAACTCAACCCACCGAATCTGGGTTACACTTAGTTTACAAACTGCAGGTTAAAGCTACTATATGTGCAGTTTGATCATTTGGCTTGGGGAGTTAACAATAGTCTAGATAATCTGTGCTGGGAAAGATGTTTGCTCACCAGCGTTATTTAATCAAGCTCAATTCTAAAGCGTTTTGAAAATGTTAAAGGAACTCGAAGATTGGATTCCTAACCATATGTGGTTTTAGTTTGAAGACCTCTAAGATAATGGACAATTAAACCTTTACAACTTGCTGGAACTAATTGAATTAAGTATTAATTTACTTTATGGTAGACAGTAATTCTGCAGTTTGAGACTGATACAAAGTGCTAGTGGTGAATATGTATTATCACTTACCCAAAGCGAGAGGCCTGGGACTTGCTGCCGTCTGAATTGAAACAAAGGAAACAGGTATCTGCTAGACTGTCGTGCTGCAAACAGACTTCCTGTATTTTATTTAAAGCTACAGTGGCAGAAGGCCGTCTTTGTTCAAGAGCCAGGGTGTTGCTTGTCTTCAACACTCCTGACTTCACACCCTATGTTTTACAGCTGTTGCTTGGCACACGGGAATAAATATATAAACCACAATACACACATCTTATTTAGATCCTCCTAACGAAGACATTTCAACACCTCAAACTTTATTTCTTGCACTTAAAGGTGGGGTAGGTAAGTTTGAGAAACCGGCTCGAGATACACTTTTTGTTATATTCCATGGAATGCTCTTAACATCCCGATAGCAATGAATATCTTAAAGGGGACCTATCATGCAAAATGCACTTTTGTACGTCTTTTATACATGAATATGTGTCCCCGGTGTTCCAGGGAACTCACCAAGTGTCAGAAAACACAACCCTCTATTTTCCTCCATACCCAAATCTCTAAAAAAGGGGCTGCAACGGATCTGATAAAAACTGATCCAGATTTGAACACTGTCCTGACGTCAGGACTGTGGCGCTACGGCTATTGGGCCAACTCTCCACCTATCAGGGGAATGTGGGGTTGGGCCACGGTCGGCCATTGCCGCTCGAAAGCGCTGAAGACGCTGTCGTACATATGCCAGGCCTGTAAGTGGCGCTGTAGTCTGCCACAAAAGCAGCGAAGACTTCCCGCCCATGGTTCTTCTGTTTATTCTCCGCTGTGGCTTTTTTTCTCCCTCCCCGAGGCAAGCGTTTGCTGCCGCTGCAATGCAATCCCTCCCCGTCGAGGCAAGCACTGTAATTCTCTCCGGTTAGTCCACCAGCAGATGACAAACACCCACCTCTCCGCCTCTTCCAAGGAACGAGGGGACCGTGCGGCAGAGTTTCAGTTTCAGTTTATTTCGCCAGTCAAGATGTCCGTTAAAGTTTAAATCTTCTGGACAAAATTAGAAAAGTGAAGGTCAAAGGTCTTCTTTGTTATTTATTGAGCTTTAAAACAAATGAATAACGACACTATAGGCCTATAACAATATAATAAAACACGGAGGACGAAGATCTTTTTTTACCTTACCGGTTTACCTTGGTTGGTGATTGGCTAATGGTTACACAAGCCAAAACATCGTTATGACATCATAAAGTGGCCAAAATCTGATCAGCTCATTTTCAGACAGGTTTCTATATAAATGGATCAGGACAAAAAGTGAGCGAATCTTTTTTCCTGAAACTTTCAGAATCTCTTTACACATGCTGATGTAGAAGAGACATGAACAAAGTTGATTTTGCATAATAGGTGACCTTTAAATAATGTATTATTTAGGCTTCTTTCTAAAATATGTAATTTACTTGTAAAACTGGAGGTAGTCAAAGTATTTTCTCTGCAGTTGAGGTAAACAAAAAACACATTTTGAGAACATAATGGACTGAACACATTTGACAAACTTCAGCAATATCATTTGGAATCTGTTGGTTGGGATTAAGATGTGAGAATAGGAGTTTCTTTCCAGTGACACAGGCCAATTTGACCTACTTAAAAATGATCTGCAATGGCTTATCAATACACAATAGATGTTTCCTTCTGGTTGGCAGAGGCTGCTGAAGGAGAAGCCGTGTGAAGTGGACTGCACCAGCACATCAGCATCTCCTGTGAAAAGAGACAGGGTTAGCCACCTTGGTCTAACATCCCAGTATCAAAAAGCTTGCTTTTTTTAAACCTGGGTATATGATGATGGTGATATATGATGCACAGCTATCCGATCAAATGATCTTAGTTACATGGTCATTTAAATTGGCAGAATATCCCAGCCATATTGTTGTCTCTGATCTGTTATTGACAGAAGAAGAAGATCAAAAGTCTACAGTCATGCTAACGGCTCTGTGAGGCTGCACTTACATGTTAACGTGATGTCAATGACAGTTCTCACATGCTCATATTTAGAAGGTCAAATGTTAAATTTTTAGTACAGCATAGCAGATGTTTTTGTCATAAATCAGAGGATAATCACACTGGGGGTGATAGAGGAAAGATTTAGGGGATCAACAACCAAACTAATAAGAATTCCTCCCCTGGGCCCTATGAGTATATGTTTCCGTACTTGGCATCTAATAGAAACATTTCACTGAACCTGTCCACATCATACATTTTAAACATGTAAAAAAAGTAACTAAAACATGAGAAATATTGCACATGTACAAATACACAAGCATGAAGTGATCATGCAGCAAAAACTAAAGTAGAAGAAAGTCAATGATGATCACCACGGGTTATATTCCACACCTCTGATGTGGAAGCGGTACCGTACAGACACATGTCACATGATGCTCAACACAGCTGGGTCAACAGCAGACAATGTGGTTACTAGTGTCAAGGGCAACAGTCTTGGTACATACAGATATCATATCACAATCAATAAAAGTATATACAATTACATGTTTTAGGGCTGCTAGTGTACAACAGAACATTTTTATGGAATACTATTCAGTCAAAATTGTAATGCCGTACTTTTCTTCAAAAATGTTGTCATGTATGTTAGAAGCATTTTAACTTTTTTGAGAAAGCTATCCTGTATTTTTATGGGGTTTTAAATTATGACTTTTTTACTGCAAAATATCTCAAAGCTTACTATACTGTAATGATATAATATAATGATATGGCTCAATATACCAAAGCCTTTTAAATAATATATATATAATATCCCATGGCATGAAACTATGACATTTTTACTTGTTGGTAATAAAAAAAGTCGTTGTTGCTATACTATGACTTTTTCTAATATTTCCTACGTACTATACTATGGTTTAATGTATTATATTTTCCACATACAATAATAACAGATTTTTTGATATTTTTGACAGTGTAGTAATCAGAGTTTCCGTCAAATTGACGGACTTTGACCGGTAAAATATGCTGAAGACCGGCAAATCTAAATCTCTCCGGTCAAAATAATTTCACCTTAGCACAATACCGCATCAGTTGCGCCACTTATGTCACAGACAAGAATAGTATGTGACAGACAAAAGAGTATGTGACAGACAAGAAGAGTATGTGACAGACAAGAAGAGTATGTGACAGACAAGAAGAGTATGTGACAGACAAGAATAGTAAATTCTAATGTCTAACACTTAATGTGGAGAAAGAGATGTCCTGTATGGGTTGATTGTGCGTTGATCTTTTGTTAATGCCTCGGGGTTCCGGTGAGCATGTAAACAAATGCATAATGCTGCGCTATACTTTGCGGCCTCACCTGGTTGCATAGCGACGCTTATTGTTTAGAACTAGCTAGATCTGAGCGATATGGACATAAACGTGAGTGAAGTCTAATCTGACGGGAGAGAGAGATCAGCTGCTGCTGACGAGTCGACACGCAGCTCTGCATGATCACCTGCAGTGGTGAGCGGAGCAAAACACACTTCAGGTTAGAAAATTACACGTAGCTATTTTAATTACCTCTCAAACTACCTAAACTAGTTATAGATATGTTTATCTTTACTGTCGGGTCACTCATTACTGGATCCGCGAGCTGCACGATACTGACGGGCTGTCAGGAGAGAGAGAGAGAGCGCGCCTTTTATTATTCCCGTGTTATTATTCCCGTGTTATTATAAGTTACTGTACACTTTTGAATAATGTAGTTAAAGGTGGGGTAGGTAAGTTTGAGAAACCGGCTCGAGATACACTTTTTGTTATATTCCATGGAATGCTCTTAACATCCCGATAGCAATGAATATCTTAAGTGCTTTGACAAAAAATCCATACAAAAATGTCATCTGTGGAAGCCGTAGTACTGTAAAAAGCACGACCAATCATTTTAGCCGGCCCGGCTAAAATAACTGGATGGCCTACCTGCCTGTCAGCCTTCCATCGGGGCACAAACTTATCTCGTGCCCTCATTGGTCATGTTCGTGTGTGTTGGAGGAGGGGCTCTGTAAGGAAGTGGCAGATTTTTTCCGGCTGTCTATTTTCAAAATCTAGCGCACTCAAGCTGGTTTCTCCAAAATTACCTACCCCACCTTTAATCTACTATAATTAGTTTGTTTAATATCGAATCATATCAATTTGTTTTAAAGCTCAATAAATAACAAAGAAGACCTTTGACCGGCACTTTTCTCATTTTGTCCGGAAGATTTAAACTTTAACGGACATGTTGACCGGCAAAAAAAGGTTCACGGAAACTCTGTGTAGTGTAGGCTACTTTTCCACACACACAGTTAGACATTTATTCTGAGACATACTATCTTTGACTAGGAATATTCAGATCGGATTTTTTTGACACGCTGTACTATAATAATAATAATAATAATAATAATAATAATAATACATTTGATTGATATAGCACACTTTAAAAACAACGTCAACTCAAGGTGCTTCACAAAGCTATGTATATACTATGTTGTTTTTTGCATATTTTCGACATAATATACTATGTATTTTTTTCATATATTCGACATCCTATACTAAGTCGTTTTTTCTGATATTTTTGACATACTATACCAGGGGTGGGCAAACTTTTTGG